GGAAGGGAACACTGTTAGATAGGCAGAGGTAAGTATTGATTTGGGTGTAGAGAAGGGCAATGTACCAAATGTGAGTAATGAACATGGTGGCATTGAAGAAGAGGAAGACATAGAGAGGTACATGGAGGTGAAGACAACAAAGATGAACCCTTTTGCACATACAGTACTGCATTGTCAGTGAAGGCAAATATGGGTATATGGGTGGATAGGCTGAACTAGTAGGTATGTCTATGCAGCGGGGATTGTACCCAAGACCATGTATAGGGTTGGCAGACAATGGTTCTACAAGTGTATTGCTATGTTCTATAAGAATTCCCAGGTGTACAGTAGAGTTGACAAGGGACAAGATTGTAGTCACTTCTTGGTCACAGCCAGCTACCCAGAGGGACTGAGTAGTTGAACCTGTGGGCTCAGGACCATAGTCTCAGGGGACATCAAGCTCAACTGGCATAACATACTGCACAAAACATTGTTTCACCTCCTGCTTTGGCAAGTAGCGACTGGGATCTTAAGCCTGCAAGCAGCCATCTAGATGCAATGATGGGTCTCTCCTCGTCCAGAGCAAAGAAGAATGAAGAAAACCAAAGATTTATGGTAACAATTAGTCCTAGCAACTGGTACACCATGCGATTCACAGCCTTTATGACTATGAGAACAGAAGAACTAGATGGTGCCTGGCTACCACTGTCAACCACTTGGAGCGGGATCTATGTAGAAGATACTGGATAGAGAGGGTGAACGATGTGGAACAAAACTCAGTATTATTTGGGGAAAAAAAGGGGGGGGGGCCAGGTTTGCTGGTCTGGTAGAGCCTGGTGGAACCCATGAGACTATGGCACCTAGCTGCCCTTCAGGTCTGGAATTGAACCCACACCTGTGGCTTCCAGCCAAACAAAAGGCAGGAATATGAGTTGAACATTTACCTGAGGTAGATACACTCCTTGGAGAGAACAATCATGGGAGCAAGAAGGGCTGTTTATGCACAGGGAGACAGCTCAGGGGCAAGAGTGCATGGAGGGATGGACACAGGGAAGAGGTAACTATCGGGAGGAAATGGGAGGGGAGCTGTTGCATTGGGGTAAATTGTAGTCAATATCATGAGACAAAGTGTATGTGAACTGCTGTATGGAAAGTGAATTTGCTCTGTAAATTTTCTCCCAAATCACAATTAAAAAAGAACGTATATCTGTTAATATATTCCAATGTAAAAGATGTAACATACCTTTCCCTTTATTTTTACTAACTAGTTTTTAAATCGAGAAATACATGTATATGGAAGAAAATTCAAAGGCATATAATAAAGACTAACTCTTCCCACCTCAGACCCCCAGGTGACCCTGATAACTACTGTAGTTTTCACAACTAATGCACATATTATGTTTTTGCAAACTGTGCAACCCCCTCACACATTAGTTTCCTGTGTATGCTAGATGCGGGCTATTTACGTGTACACATTATGTGTGAAAAATATGGTGCTAGCTCTTATAAGTGTATCCATTGAAAAATTTTCTGTGTGCATCTAAGTATATATGATACATATATATATATGTATATGTGAATAGTAGTCACACACAATATGAACATCTTGCATACATTGGTCTGCTTCATTTTGTTTAACTTGATAACATATTTTCCATATCTCTCCATATCAATACATATAGATCTTTCACATTTTTCATGGATACACAGCATTCATTTCATGGAGGTAGCATAATTTATTTAAACAGTCATCTGTTAATGCATATTTATGTTGCTTCCAGCTTTCCGCACATACAAGTTAAAATAAATTTATATGCTAGAATTTGTCATGTTTATAAGATTGTTTATACACACTAACTTTAATTTTTCCTTTTGAAATGCCTGTTTCTTTTTGTCCCACCTGGGATTTATTTCTGCATAATAAGTGAGGTAGGAATTCAAGTTTTTTTTTTTTTTCTAGATGATTAGCCAGTTGTTACAAATCATGTATTTTTTTCCCATTGCGTTGAATGTTTCCATTATCATGGAATAAATTCTCATACTTTGTATCTGTGTATACTTCTGAATTCTTTATTCTCCTCCCACGCTCTACTTGTCCATGGCTGCAATAGTACCAAACTACTTTAATCATAGTAGCACATATTTTATTAGCTAGTAAGCTATTTCCTAAGGCCATTGAAGATGGAATTTTTTTTCTGTTTCTTTATTTTATTCCTTTGGTAGATGGTTATATTTTCCTCTTTTTTATTTCTACCAGCTGATTGAAGTCTGTAATGATCAGCAAATCAAAGAACTGTATACTAGTGATCTTCTATATTACACTGGTGCTAATTATTAAACTAGTGATCAAGGTTTTATTACAAGCATTTATTTTGGTAAAAATGATCAATTACACTTATGACTTACTCTTAGGTTTCCCTATAAATGATTTTTGATATAACAAAATAAAATAGTATGTTTGCTTATGTTTATAGAATCTAAAACAAGTGTAATTAATAAAGTAATTGGATTAATTAATTAATGGACTGATTCTTGGATATTTATGGTAACAGAAAACAACGTAATGCACTGCCATGGAGTTGGTCCCGACTCATAGCGACCCCTCCTTGGCTTTCTGAGGTGGTATCACCAGGGAAGTAGATTGCCCAACCTTCCTTCTGATTTATGGTAACAACAGTTAATCTACATAAGAAGCCTGTTTTATTTTTAGCCTCTTAGATTTTTGGCTATAATATTAACCAATATTAAACTAGACTGTATGAATTGATTAATCAAATTATGCTATGAATGACTTTGGCTTCATAATTCAAAGGGAAGATCTTATAAAATGTCTAACTTTGTAATTAGTTTGAATGACAGTCACACTAGAACTATATTTAAAAAACAAGCCCATCTCAGACAGAAAAAGTATGTCAATGTTCCCTTAAAACTGTAATTTTGTTTTAAAATATTATGAAGATGCATCTTCAATTCTGTGATGAAGTATAAATTTAAGAACACTGTTTAACAAATTACATACCTCTGTGGTTAGTTGTGTAGTTTTTGATGTAACATGAAGATTCTTATCATCTTTTGTAGTAGAATTAACAACAGCACCAGATGTCAAAGAGGCCTTCAATGTTTGGTAGCATTTAAGTATTTTTTCACTTTTCTCTTTCATTGATTTCAAGTCATTTTCCCATTCTTTGGAAATGGCAGAACTTCTTTCCTCAAAGTCAGTAGATTCATTCATTATGGCCTATTGAATATGGAAAGCATTGACTATAGGTCTAGAATGAATTACAATTTTTAAAATATACTAAGGAAAATACTTAATTCTTGAAGAAAGTTTATGAAGAAATTTATTATTTTGAAAATTATAGAATAGTATGTTAAAAGAATATAAACATTCTTTGTGGTTTATATTAGTTCCTGATATTTCAGAAGATATCGGATGTGAATAAAACAAAAATAAGAATTGGAGAGGATTCATATTGATCTGTAAGATGATAATGAGGAATCTGAAGAATTGTGCAGTTAAACCATTACACACACACATACACACACACATTATGGCTAATGACAAAACACTAATGGACATCAAATAACACAGCACATTAGTAAACTTAATGATGACATATTTTCCTGTTTCATACCAAACCTCAGTGTTTATGGGAAAAAGAACTCACTGACTTTTTGTAAGAAATCATGTATTTCTGTGCAGGGAATAATAGTCAGTCAGTATTCTCCTCTACAACTGATGGCTAACTAACTCTGAAATTACTCATAACATCTCTCTACTTTCTAATTCCTATGGAATATAGTTTTTGGTCTCATAATGAATGCCTTAGTGGTTCTACCAATAACTTTGTGGCTTATGGTAGTTTCACCTAGCTTGGATCCTGAGGTAGTGTGTGTTGTTGTTGGCACCCTGGATTCTCCTTGGCTCTGGACTACTGACCTTGCCCCATACAAACTTATCAGTGTCTATCTCAGAGTGAATAAGCTACATAACTATTCTGATCCACATCAGTAAAAATCCCTACTCCCTGATCATAGCTAGGTCCTCAATATGACAAAAAAAACAAACCAAA